CTGAAAAACAGTCCTAAATAAGTTCCCTGTACACCCATGAAGCAATATTGACACCATCCAAAGGCCGACCCTATACGGATCCCTCTGTAGACCATAAACTATCCAAAACCCGAGCCCTCAAGCCCTAAACCGTTCAATTTCCAAACCCGCAAACCCCTAAAACCTAAACCACTAAACCCTAACCCCAAAACTTGGAACCCTCAATCAAGCCCCAAAACCCCTCAATCCCAACCCCAAAAACTCGAACACTCAAACAAACCTCAAAACCTATGCCGTCTCGTCCTCCGCTGTTTGAAGCTGTCGCTTGGCGGCTAGGCGCCCATGAGACTCCTCCAGGAAGTCCACCATCACCTCACAAAGACTTAGAATAGGGTTCCTTTAAAAGGGGTCTATAAGGGTTACGAAACGGGGTACTATGAGGGTACTGTAATATAGGGTCTGAAGGATTAGAATAAGGTTTGCGGGTATGTTGTACTATACTTAAAATAGGAGCTCAAAATAGAATGGGTAATTACTATATACCATCACCTCATCAAGAATTCCACATCATGGTCGGGATAGTACTAAAGATTCATGTAAACTCATATTTCTTATTGGGGGTTCAAGTACCCATAAACATATAAGATGTCACCCAACTATGACACAGACTTCTCGTGAAAAGTATATTTTTTCGGTTTGGTGGGTGTTCAGAAAGACTTCCTTTCACGGCTCGGGGGATTGTACGGTTCTTGATTGGGCGTTCATGGAGATTTTCATTCGATTTACATGGCTTTATATCGGTATGAGGTCTGCTTACAGGGCTTACAGGTGTGTATTGCTTATCGATAAGTACCACAGCCCACTACTTTATCGTTCCAGGTCATACCCTAAACGAGGGAAGCTTTGAAACAGCCAGCAGGACACGGCTCCCGACCCTCGTGTCCTGATTGCTGCATAGCGTTGCAACGTGCTCCCGCCAGCCGCGCTAGCCCTGTTGGAGCTATCACCGGCCTTGAAACGAAGCAGCTCTCTCTCATCCTGCGAAATTGCTGATCTCTCCGACGACCACAGCAACGTCGAAGCCGTACCGCATCCCCTTGTTGAAACGAAGCAAATCCCCCTATGCCCTAAACCCTAAACCCCCTCTCCCCCCCTTGTTGAAAGGAAGCAAATCCTGTGCCCGGATCCTCAGTCCACCGTGGGCGGGCTCACCTCTGACAGCCACACCACATCGCGAACCATGTGGGGGTTTCCGAAAATTAGGGGTACCTTTAAAGGGATCCTTTAAGGGTTCCTTAAAGGGATCCTTAAAGGGATCTATAGGAGTTCTATAAAGGGTTTAGGGTTTAGAGTTTCCGAAAATTAGGGGCCCCTTACTTGGGGTCCTTATATTAAGGATCCTACCATTTAGGGTGCTATATCAGGGCCCCTATTTCCGGAAACTCCCATGTGAAAAACCACGTGATCAAGGGCCCTCTCGTACTATACTCCGCATGCTTGTGGCTCCGTAAACCTCGGCCTCAGGCGGGACAAGATCAAGATCAATGCGCTGGCCCGTGAGCCAAAACACGAGCGTCTTGGAGCCGCCGGCATTGAAGGCTTGAGCATCCCACAAGACGACGGTCTTGATTCCTCAACTACGTGGAGGTTCATGGGTAGTTAAAAGTGGGTCACAATTAGGGTAACTATGGTTATAATCCCTATTAGGGGACTTATAACCCTAGTTATAACCATCCATGAACCTCCAAGTAGAACCAGCCATTTCTCGACTGGGTCTAGCCAAGTGCGCGGAAAAGGCTGCACTTCCGCACCCTTCTGTTCTTCGTATTGCTTTTGGGTGATCTGCCACCTGAGGCTTGCGGGGCATTGTAGACCTCTGATGAACACATCCCCACCCTACAAGCCCTAAACCATGTTCCTATCAAAGGGTCTGGAGAGGGGGAAACTTCTTTAGAAACTGATAGGCATTCCGGCCGTTATGCGTGTGCCCCATTCGCCAATATACGTTCTTACCGCGTAGATCCCTAGAATGGATCCGTCTGCCAGGCATCATAATCCAAAAAGGACAACAACTAAAGAACTGCCCAAGCATCCAGATGGTTGTGGGTTCCACAAACTCTACGTTAAACACCTAAAACATCGACGGCGTTAGTCCTGATTTTCTTGCTTGCATCTGCCGAAAGTAAAATCCCAAAGCCTAAACCTCAGTTGTTCCTCAGACCCCAACCCCAGACCCTAAACACGAGACCCTGCAACCCCCCTACAAACACCTTTGAAACCACCGAAACAGAGGCCAGATCTGAAGCACTGCCTCGAAGCCGTCTTTGTCAAACTTCATGTCCGCCAGAAGCCTCGCCGAGAACTGTAGGGGTCTAGACGCACGGTTGATGATATAAATCCTGCATTACCTTAAGGGCCCTTAACTATGGGAATTATGGTAGGGTCGGGAGTTGGGCCGTCGGGTTTGGGGTGGGACGACGTTTTGCTTTTGCGCTCAGCTTGTGAAATATATAAACTAATAAAATATATAATATGAAATAATATAATATAATGCAATATAATATAATATAATATAATATGAGATAATATAATATAACAAAATATAATATAATATAATATAATACAAAATAATATAATATAATATAATATAATATAATATAATATAAAGTAATATAATATAATATATATAATGTAATATAATATAATATAGTATAATATAGTATAACAAAACATATTATAATATAATATAATATAACATAGTATAATATAATATCATATCATAAAATATAATGTAATATAATAAAAAATAATATAATATAATATTTTATGAAATATAATATAACATAGTATAATATAATATCATATCATAAAATATCGTATCATATCATATAATATCATATAATATCATATCATATAATATCATGAAATATCGTATAATATAATATGAAATGATGTATTATAATATGATATAGTATAATATAATAAAATACAATAATATAATATTTTATACAATATAATATAACATAATATAATAAAATATCATATCATATAATATCATATAATATCATATCATATAATATTATATTATAATATTAAATAGGAATATAATATAGTAAATATAATATAACAACATATATAATATAATCTTATAACTGAATAATATAATTATCATTATAAAATCAATAATCATAAAAAATAATATAATATAATATTTTATATAATATAATATACATTAGTATAATATACTATCATATCATAAAATATCATATCATCATCTTATGATATCATAAATCTATCATATAATATCATATATATAATATCATATAATGTAATATAACATAATATAATATATTACAATATAATAATAAAATATAATATAATATGATATAATATAATAAAATATAATAAAATATAATATAATATAATATCATATCATATCAAATATCATATCATATCATATAATATCATATAATATCATATCATATAATATCATATAATATCATATAATATCATATAATATCATATCATATAATGTAATGTAACATAACATAATATAACATAATATGATATAATATAATATAATATAATATAATATAATATAATATAATATAGTATAATATAATATAATATAATGCAATGTAATATGTAAACTTTAGTATATTATAGTATTATATTTTATATAATATATTTTGGTATTAGATTGTACTATATACTATTAGAATTTTAGGCTCGAGCGGCACAGGAAGCTCCAAGAAACACGTTGCAAACCATCCCCAAGTCTTCGAAAGTTGTGAACTCCAAATCCTGATCCCCTGAAGAACTCGAATGTAGGAGCCTTAACAAGAGTGCGGTTTGCTAGGGTTCCTACATTGAGTCACATAGAGTCATACTACTGTCTACAGTGTACCCCCCAAACCCTAAGCACTAAACAAAGTAATTAAGGGTCCGATATCAAGCCCTGAGTGCTCTTCGCCCAGAACCCTGAAGTCACAAAAACACCGCCAAGCCTGCAAAAACTTGGCTCTTACAACTGCAGCCTACAAGTCCTGGAAACACAAATCCGTTCTCTAAGGGGTACTACGGACAGGCACTACATTGGTTTTATAGGGGATCTATCCGACTGCCATACATCCACAACTTTCGACACTTCTGTTCTGAACCCTAAATCCCGCGCGCAGAGACAAACAAGCCCTCATCACCAAGAGCACTGAAACACCAGATTTCTACAACACCAGACACTTGCAACTCCTTCGTTGCTCCAACTTAGGATTCCACTTCCGGTTGGCATAAGAGTTCAAGAGCTTGAGGCTGATAAAACAATCAGGTCAGATATGCAGTGTCCGTCAGTCGTATGTTCTTGCAAGCAAGCTGTGCCTCTAGTAGGAGTTCGTAGAGGGACCATACAGGACTACTATTGATTGGTTGAATGATTGATGGATTGATTAGTCCAGCTTGAGTAACCATATAGTATATAGTAGTAGTTGTCGTCGTCTGCCTCCCGACCACCTGCACTTGCTCTAAACCCTGTTAGGACCGCGTCCATTTCACTCGGTACTGTACTTAGTACTCGTACTACAATACTAGTAGTAGCAGCAGTAGTGGCAGTGGCAGCAGTGCCAGTGGCAGTGGCAGTGGCAGGAGCAGTAGCAGTAGCAGTAGCGGCAGCAGCAGCAGCAGCAGTAGCAGTAGCAGAAGCAGTAGCAGTAGCAGTACTAGTGCTAGTACTAGCACTAGAACTAGTACAGGTAGGAGGAAGAGGAGGAGCAGGAGGAGGAAACAGAGGACTACCGAAACTGGTAGAAGCAGTAGCAACAGCAGTACTACTTTGTTCCTACATTTCTGCTTGCTGGCATTGTTGGTTCACTGATGCTACAGACTTGCGACTATACTATTGTTCATTGCGATACTTGTCTGGGCACATGCCGTTGGGATTGCTTTAAAGATCTTTGAAGACTGCGATGGCAATAAGCGTAAGAGAAGGACCGAGCCGCTGCAACAGCCTGGAATCTTTTCACAAGTGCCGATAAGGCAAGAGGGTTAACTCGGTCTCCACGTCGCGACGTTCAGAACCAAGACGGGATACTTCAGGTTCAGGCTTTGTTAACCAAGCTTTGACATCCACTTCTTTGTACGGGTAGCCACGCTTCTGCAGCCACGCCACTTCGGCTTTTTGCGAGTTCCCCAGTCCCTCCGACTTCAGCAGGAAATCACGGTCGTCAGCCGGCAACCATTCCAGAAACAAGCGGTGCTTCTCACGGCTGAACTGCGAGGACGAGTCGTATCGCTTTTTCTGGCAAAGATTCCCGAGCCCAGCCGCCATGGCACTTGTGTACTTTTCCGACTGCTCGAACTCGACTACCCGCTTAAAGATGGCATCTCTCCGAATGTGCTCCTGGCCAGCTGTGGCGAAGCTCTCCACCATTCCTTTTCCACAAGAGTCAGTAAAGAAGTAAACATGGAGTTCGGACCCAATGCTCACGGCCTCTTCTACATTTTTCATCCACTGGTCCCACCAGAGGCATCCCCAGGGCTTTTCCTCGCCGTAGATAGGGAAACACCAGCAGCTTCCATCCAATTCTTCGGAGTCTGGGATTGGGCAGTGCTTGCCATAGCTCGGCGTGCCTTCCGGCAGAAAAACCACTGCTGCACTGGTCGAACCAGTCTCCGCGCTGCCTACCAAGTTGTCCCAGGCTGTTGAATATTTGCCAGGCCAAGAGACCACACACTCTTGCCCATGCCTCCGTGCAGCATCAAGATATGCCAGACTGTTACGCTACACGAGCATGTGTCAGTCTATACTACATTCGGACCGTAGCACTCACTTAGGGCTTGCTACATACACTTGGATCTTAAGTTTTTGTAAGGACGGAGGGAAGATCGGCGAGCGAAGAAGATTTGAACGCCTCTACTCATGTGAAGTGAGGATTCATGTACCCATTGCAAGTATGTAGTGTATACTTCGGTGTTAAAGTTACAACATGGGATCCCCTTTCGGGCCTAAGCATATACTATATAGGTGCATGGACCGTTATTCGGGATCGACATTCATGCTAGGGAAGGAATGAAACCCGAGACCCGGCAGACCCAGAGGCTCCACAACCCGCTAATTGAGAAAGTGTACCTTCTCGTATGGTGGGGGATCCTTCACATGTGCTTTAGAGTATAATTATGCCTTGATTGCCAGGGTGTGGAGTTTATGGGTATACTACAGCGTCTGTACATGGTTGTTGGGACGTTCCGGCGTCTTGCTGGCCTATGATGTCTTGAAGCAAAATGACAGTTGCGGTGGTACTGATGCCGACTGTGACGAGTAGTCTCATGAACTTTTCCGCACCCGTGACATTCGGGTGGACATGTCATGCTGTAGCATTGTGCCTATCCCGGCCAAGGACAGAGAGACGGAGAGAGGATGAGCAAAAAGGACAGACAGACTGAGACAGAGGAAGAAGTGAATTCCGCACATCGACTCTCTGGATTCAGCATGCTTATGGGCAATATTATGATTAGGGTAACTGTACTGTACTTATAACTCCAATTAAGGTACTTATAACCTTACCTACTAAGTCAAGGCCCCAGGCTCTTCCGGATGACCCTGCCCTCAAAGACAATAGTCTGCTCCCTCGCGCGAAGCTGAGCATCAGCTGCAGCGACGCCTCCGGGTAATGTAGAACGGGCCACAAGGCCAAGAATTGGACCGAATGCGAGCATGGACGGCACAGGGTCGTGATGATAGAATATGAAGTAGATGATGCCGGCATACAAAGTGACCGTGCAAAAGCCTGTCGTCAGGAGGAAACAAAACACATAGTTTGCTCCGTAGAGCTCTAGCATCCGCAGCAGGATAGCCATATACATTGCTCCGTAGTGACGCTCTAGCATCGACGCAAGGCTTGCACAACGAACATGGCGCTGACAAATATTGGATGCCCACTGGTCACTTCCTGCCGAACGTGGCACCAGCAAGGCAACACCTAAAGTGAGTGCACCAATGCACAACGACCCAGCATAGCCCACAGCTACCTTTTGGCAAAGGTCTTCGGCACCGAGAGCCATGGACAGGCCGATCGGTGGCATGTAGCCTACAGCGCAAGCGCAAACCACAACATAAAGGAAACGGCGCCATCTCAGATGCCATGCTCTGCGCCTCAAAAGTTTCTCTCTCTGAGCGCCTGCCTCCTCTTCCTCTCGGATGAAATGCTCTTGCTGCACTAGCCAAGAATCGCTTCGGGCTTTTAGGTCTTGCAGACACTCCGAAATCTTCAAGCGGCACTCCAGACCCGGCCGTCTGGATTGCCGGATCGCCGGCTCGTCGCGCACACGGCCGTGGAGACAGGTCGGACTCACCACTTTCAAGGTTCCACTTGGGTAGACCACTTGCCATCCATCGCTGCAATCGATCTCAACAGCGACCTGCAAATCATTGAGGATGCAAATTTCATGATCTACACTGGAGCTGGGCATGAGCGCTCCCAGCCTGAGTTTAAGTCGCGAGCTGTTGGACCGTAAAGGCGCCTAACACAACAAACAGCGAAACCAGACATGCCTAACACATAAGTAGGCATACACACTCCATAAGCCTGAAGCCGCAAAACCCTGAACTCGAAAGGACATTTTTCGTATTTAGAGTTATATAAATGCAAGAACTGGGGTTTATTTACATGCTTATGTAACTCTCAGATGGACTCCTAGAAGCGAAGCTGTTTAGTGGCCGCGTCCGAAGGAGGATAAGTCGCAAAGATTGCTATGACAATCCACAGCGCGGGACACTGATGACGTGGCTGATCTTGGGATACTACTACTGCTTATTCCAACGTCTTCATTAGCTGGCATGCCGATTGGTCACCGGCAACTCAACCTAAACCCCTGAAGCCTAACCCCGAAGCCTCCTTGAACCCTAAACTAAATCCCTCCTTGTCGGGTATCATGGGGAACTAAAGGATAACCTTTTTGGTTATATAGGGACTATGCTACCCCAAAAGGTGAAAGGTTGCCTACTACTAGGAATCGGCCAGCTCGGCCTGCGACCAAGGCACCCGGAGCCACCAAGCTGAAGAGAAAGCTCTTCTGTATCTGTCCCATGTCTCCGAACCTCAAAACCACACCCCTACAGCCCGAATTCCCAATCCCACCGAACAAGCTACACACCCTTAGTAGAACCCTCCCAGAACACCAAATAACGACAAAATCCTACAAGATGACAACAACCCCCCCCAACCGAACCCCTCTAAAAGGAATCCCTCGGGCGACCCAGAAACCCTCATAAACCCAAACATTCTCAAAGGAATCCACCGGAGGATCCGGAAAAAAAGTCCCTTCCCCATGCCGCGTCCGAGGGCCTCGGTAAATCCTCCAAGACGACGAAGTCGCGCCTGGCCTGTTTAGGGTGTATCAGGGATTAGGGATTGAAAAGGTTTAGGGTGTTTAAGGGTTTAGGGTTCATACGGGTTTAGGGTTTAGGTTGTATCAGGGATTAGGGATTGAAAGGGTTTAGGGTTTTTTAGGGTTTTTAGGGTTCATGCGGGTTTAGGTTGTATGTATAAGGGTTTAGGTTGTATAAGGGTTTAGGGTGTTTAAGTGTTTAGGGTTTAGGGCTTCCGGGATCTTCTGGGCTCGTGCTTTCTGGGGCTTACTGAGGGAGGCCTTTCTTATACAAGCGCTCCTTCAACGAGCATAGATACCGCCTGTGGAGGGTTAAGGATGTAGTCAGGGTTTTCCAGAGCGGTAAAGGGAACTCCAGAAAGTTGGAATATGGATTAATGGTAGGATCCCCTTTATGTTACCTTAAAGGAGTTACGATAATGATATTCCAACTTTCTGGCTTCTACTGTAGGGTGTTACAGGGTCTTGTAAGGGTCTTTATTGTTTGACTTGAAAAACGTTCCTGTGCTTCTTAGAAGAGGGGCTTACGCAGGCCCAATAGGTTTAGGTCGGGCCTGCATCATCGTCTAGAAAAAGAATGCAAAAGTGGAGGGACAGTCCTAGCAACGAGTGTGGTTATCACTCATGCGCCTATATCAGGGCCCGGGTATTCAACAAATGCCACTACATATCATATAACAGCATCATACCTGATACAGTAAGATAAAAGATGTTCGAACACATAACATAATACCGTATGATATGATATGATATAACATGACATATTATGATATATAAAAAAGAATACGTTATATGGTATGATGTGTTATGTACAACTCAGGTCCAGGTCATGCGGACCGTCGCAAAGGGAGACAGCGGGCGACGGAACAGAGCACACCCACATATAGTTGGGGACGAAATGAGTGATCACGATGTCTGATTTGGCTAATGCCACCCAGGTGAAAAGAATCCTCGAAGTCTTCGGGTTGGACCAATTTGGGAGTTTCCGAAAATAGGGGTACCTTATCTTGGGGGTCCTTATAACAAGGATTCTTCTATTTGAAGTACTATATTAGGGTCCCCTATTTTCGGAAACTCCCATTTCGAGGATCCCCACTATCCAAGAAACTAGAGGGCTTGCTGGGGCAGTTTATCAGAAACCTTTCGCCCCAAAAAGATGAGAACAAAGGCCCGCTAGCTAGCGAGGTCCGTATTGCCTCTTCTGGGATCTGGTCGTTTCGGGCGTACAGCGGCACAGATTGCTTCGGATTCACAGGGTAGACTGCGGGATGAGGTTCTGGAACTGGGGTGCTTGGAGGTTCATGGGTAGTTGTAAATGGGTGTATAAGTCCCCTAATCGGGGAACCATAGTTACCCTAATTATCGCCCCACTTATAACTACACATGAACCTCTAAGTGGGGCTCATGGTCACCGTTTGAGAACATCCTTGTGTCTTGGGTTTGAGTATGGTGTAACCTAACCCTAAGGGTCCATGTGCCCAACTACTATATACTTTGGCCTTGAAGTACTCCCTGTATAGGTACATTGGGCCCACAGCATATACGATTTGGTCACATGGACCCCTAAACCCTAAACCCTAAACCCTAAGCCTTAGGGTAAGTCAGTGCTCCGAAAGTTCAGTACAGTTCCGAAGGGTCCCAAGAGAGCCTCGTTGTCCCCGAGCTTCATGTCAAGAATATCCACCTTGCTCTGGATCCGCACAGCCTTCAGTGAGAGCTCAAAGGATGAACTTAGCCGTAAGCCCTGAATCTTAACTCCCCTAAACCCCTAAACCCCCTTAGTAGACCCCCTTGGCAATTACATCTTCCCAGTGTAGTATGAAACCCAACCTCGCCACGAACATCTTGAAGCTCGCGAGTTCCAGGCATTGCGGGCTTCCGGGTGATGGGCTTGGGTAATCCGAGCGCCGACTAACGTACCTTTGGTTAGTAGGGAATCGAATAAGAATGGTAGTAATAGTAGTTATAAATGAATAAATGTACCCGATTTTTCCATTGCCTAGTAACCAAAGATAAGCTAATGCCCGACAAGGGCTTCTACCTGAAAGAATCTTGAGAAGCCTCATGCACTTCACGGTAGTCTCCTTCGGTTCTTACAGATAACATGGGACCTCTAGATACACCCTGAACTGTAAATGCCTTCACTATAAGGCTCCAAAACCCGCAAATTACTGAGTACGGGGTTTAGGCTCATCATTGGGTACTCGCAGTATAACCCAAACTCTTATTCCATTAACATCCTGGAGCCTGAACCGACATACTGGAAAACTCTGCTCTGCTTCCCTCACCCGTCAAAATAAACACAGGCCCCCTCAAAGCCAAGAAGCGTGAACTGAGAAGCCGTTCCGCCCTGAGCCCCATCCAAAACCATCCCGCGTCGGGTACTGAACATACAATTTGATCAGGTCCTTGGGGGTTAAGGCCCCTACATAGGCTTCGGGGCTGCAAGTTTGACATGTATTGCTTTGGGTGATATGGGCTGCAGGTTTAGACCTGTAGACTCTCAAGAAAAAGAGCACTCTTACCGAGGCCTGTCTTGACTGCGGTTGATGATATAAATCCTGCATCACCCATAATAAGGAGTATACCACACTTCCCATAGTTTCGGGTCCTTAAGGTAATGCAGGATATATATATATATATATATATATATATATATTATATATATATATATATATATATATCATCAACCGTAGCCCTCTTCACCCTGTCGCCAAGGCCGCTACGACGTGGGAGCCAGCAGAGCCGGCTATGCAGGCGGCTACTGGGACCTTCCGGCCTAGCGGGGCCTTAATAGAATAGGATTTTATGGGGCCCATTATACTTTGAGGAATCCCCAAAATAGTATAGGTAATTATTAAGGTTCAGGCCACTGTAGTAGGGTGCAACAAGACCAGCCCTCTGCAAGGACAGCATCTCACTGAGCAAGTGCTCCGTGCCGACGGTGCCCTGACGAACGCCTGTCCCAAGGCAGCCATGTACCCAAATAGTATATACTAAGGCCTCAAAGTAGTCCCTATTTCTGATGCTTTGGGGCCGAATTTGGGTACATGGATCCTTTGGGTGTGCGTTCCCCAGAGATCTCAGGACCCAAGCCCACTTGGAGAGGGCGTTGGTCACCGCCAGGTCAGAGAGAAGCATGCAAAAGGACTTCGATCGCGGGAAGCACACCAGACACCAGCCTCGGCTGTAGCTAACTCCGCGCAGATCGGTGCTCTTGGCCCCTAAACCTTATACCCTAAACCCCTAAACCCTAAACCCCTAAACCCTAAACCCCTAAACCCTAAACCCCTAAACCCTAAACCCCTAAACCCTAAACACCTAAACCCCTAAACCCTAAACCCTAAACACCTAAACCCCTAAACCCTTAAACCGTTGGGTGCCCCAGGGCCGGTCCGTCTCCACCGCTATGGGCCCGTCCACCAGCCTTGCGTGCTTGGCCAGGATCTCGCCGAGCCCGGCTGGCTGGTACATGGGAGTTTCCGAAAATTAGGGGTACCTACTTTCTTATAATAAGGATCCTACTATTTTGAAGAACTATAGACCATATTAGGCCTATTTAGGGGGTTCCCTATTAATTATGACGACAGAAGCATACCATTGAACCCTTACATAAAACTTAAAACTATTGCTGAGCTTGCAAGTAACCAAGAAAGGTCTAACTGTAATTGACGGAAGGAAACGGCACAACAAATCTCCGGAAGGAACTTGCGGTACTCCTTATGCTAAACCTTAAATGAGGGATTTAGGCTTAATATAGGGGCCGTAATAATTAGAACAGGGTTTTGGGGTATATTATACTATAGCTGTGACAAGGAACCCTCAAAATCGTAGACGCAATTATTTAGGTCCCTATAGTACCCTTATAGTAGCCCTTATAGACCCCTTTAAGGATCCCTTTAAAAGTACTGGTAGAGACAATAATTTAGGCCCCTTTTTCTTGGGTGCTGTCGGGCTTAAAGGTTTGAGGCTTAGGGATGTCCGTGCCGACCGAAGAGCCCGCGAGTCAGGATGCCCCGACGACGGTCCTTGGCCAAATGAAGCGTCCATTTAGGATTCGGCTTGAGGATGTCGATTCGGGC